ACGATGCTCGATGGATTCTGGCGTGAATTCGGCCACGAAGTCGACCAAAACTTGGCCCTTAATTGCTAATCTCGGCCTGAAATCCAAGTCGTATTGGCCCAAGGCCACTGCCCATCTTGCTATTCTTCCAGTTAAGTCTCCTTGTTGTAACAAGGACTTCAGTGGGTGCTCTGTTAGCACTATAATCTTGTGCACTTGAAAGTAATAGTTCAACTTCTTTGTAGCCATTACTAAGGCCAACATTAATTTCTCTAGTGGTAGGTACCTTGTTTTTGCATCGGCCAAGGTTTTGCTTACATAATAAACAGCCTTTTGCTTCCCTTTTTCCTCTCAGATTAGCACTGCACTTACTGCGTGTTTTGAAACTGCTAAATATAAAAACAGTTCTTCCCCAGGTTCAGGTGTTGAGAGGACTGGAGCCGTGGTCAGATATTTCTTTAGGTCAGCCAAAGTGGCCTCACATTCCTCTGTCCATAGGAAGTTCGTGGCCTTCTTCACTAGGTTGAAGAAAGGTTTACATTTGTCTGAGCTTCGGCTTATGAACCTGTTTAGGGCCACGGCCCTTTAGTAAGCATCTGAACCTGTTTTGCCGACGTCGGGCTTTTCAGCTCGGGGATGGCCTTGATTTGATCTGGGCTGGCCTCAATGCCCTTTCTTGTTACCAGGTACCCCAAAAACTTACCTGATCCAACTCCAAATGCGCATTTCGATGCGTTGAGCCAGAGCTGGTATGTTTTAAGTATATCAAAGACTACTTTTAGATCGGCGAGATGACCCTCAGGCTCCTTGGTCTTAACGACCATGTCGTCGATGTAGACTTCTACTATTCGGCCAATCAGGTGTTTGAACATTTTGGTTACCAGCCTTTAGTAAGTTGCTCCTGCGTTTTTCAACCCGAAAGGCATTACTCTGTAATAGTACAGGCCTTTGGGGTGATGAATGCGATTTTTTCTTCATCTGGGGGGTACATGGCGATCTGGTGGTACCCCCTGTAGGCGTCTAGAAAACTCATTCTTCCATGCCCTGAAGTGGCATCTACTAGTTGGTCAATTTTGGGCAGGGGAAAGCTGTCTTTGGGATAGGCTTTGTTGAGGCTGGTAAAGTCTACGCAGACCCTCCATTTACCGTTCTTCTTCTTTACCACCACTGTATTGGATAGCCATGTTGGGTAGTGTACTTCTCTGATGGCCCTGGCCTCTAGAAGTCTGTCTACTTCTTCTTCTACTGCTTCGACGTGTATCAACGTCGGTCTTTTGGCTTGTTGAATTACTGGTTTGGCCGACCTGTCAACATTTAGTTTGTGGCAAGTGACCTCGGGGTCAATGCCAGGCATTTCGTAAGGTGTCCAAGCGAACACTTCAATATTTGCTCTCAAAAAAGTTTCCAACTCTTTTTTCTCTTCTTCGGCTAAGCCCGAGCCGAGAAGAAAGAAGCGTTCTTTATCCCTATCCTGGACTAGGATTTTCGTTAGTGCCTCTTCGCTCTTCTCGGCTGGTTCTTTGCCGACGTCTTCTAGGACTTCCACGTCCTTATCTTCAATTTCTGCCTTCTCTGGCTCTCGCACGCTGCAGGTAGATTTCATTGTTGCCATGGAGCAATTCTTCGCCTGTAGCTGATCGCCTCTAACTCCCTCTATCCCATGCTCTGTTGGGAATCACAATAGTTGATGCAATGTTGAGGGAACTGCCCCCATTGCATGCAACCATGGCCTTCCCAAGATGATGTTGTAAGGGGAGGGTGTGTCGATGATGGTGAATTCTGTCTTGATTTTTCTGGTGCCAGCCTGTACCTCCAAGCTTGTTGCGCCCAGTGGCCACGTCGGCGTTCCATTGAAGCCGATCATCGGGCCATTGGACTGCTCCAAGTCATCAAGATGAAGGCCCAGCTCCATGTAACATCTAACATACATAATGTCGCAAGAGCTGCCTTGATCAATCAGGATGCGTTTCACTTGGCACTCCCCAACCTGGAGGGATACTACCAAGGCATCATTATGTGGATGCTGGACCATCTCTAGGTCGGCTTCAGTAAAGGTTATCGTCGGTCCCTGGCATTCCTCAGGCCAAGGTCTTTTATGTCTGACCTGGTTCACGTGCTGTAGGTGTTTTACCTTCTGGGTCTCCTCTCGTATGTCGTTTTCGTTCACCTTTGAGTGAATTACATTAACCACCCGTGGTCCTGCTGTCTGTGGTTGCTGTGCTGGGGGAGGAGCTGCTGGTGCTTGAGGCAATGTTGCCTGTTCTTCCCTTGTCCTGGCCTCATCGACAAGGTCCCTCAGATAGCCTTGCCTCACCAAGTCTTCTAAGTGTGCTTTCAGGGCTCTACAACCCTGAGTTGGGTGCCCTTCTTCCTTGTGGTAAACACAACGTCTACCGACGTTTCTTCCCATAAATTCCCCTAGTGTTCTTGTCGGTGCTCTGAAATAGGGTTGGTTTCGTATTTGATCCAGGACTTTGTGGACCAGGATTCGGAACACAGTCGTCACTGCCTGTTTAGCCCTCAATTCCGTTTCTTGTTTGATCGATCCATTGTTACTTCGGCTTCGCTTCGGTGAGCCGTTTCCTTTCTCCTATTTTGTCTCTTTGTTTCCCGACGTATCCTCCTCGGCTCTGGCATACTTCTCGATTCTCGCCATGAGTTCTTCCATGCTTTTTGGCAATGTCTTTGCCAAAGACTTCCGCAGTGGGCAGTCATCTTTTAGGCCTTTCTTGAAAAACACGACCGACACCTCTTGGTTGCATTCGGGTATTCGATTGAACACCTCGTAATACCTTTTTGCATAGGCCCTAAGGCCTTCATCCTTTGTGATTTTTAAAGTCATCAGTGCGTCGACCCTCAAGGGCTGTAGTTTGTTCGTCACAAACCTGGCCACAAACATCTCGACCAGGCCTTCCCAATCTGATGCAATCTCCCTGAAGGATGAGGGGAATACTTTGCAGAGCAATGGTTCGTTCCCACTATATAATGCCATTGAATTCAGGTATAGTCCAACGTGAAAGTTGAGATCTGACTTGCCGTCATATACTTGGAACCTTGGCATACTGAATCTCTTTGGTGCTTCAAATTTGTCTAGTTCCACCAAGACTGGTGTCCTCGGCTTAACCGGGGAAATTACCTCAGCTTCAGCATTCTGTTACTTCCTCTTGAGGTAATCTCTCAAGTCTTCTTTACTCCTCCCTGGAGCTCAGCTACCTTTGGACTTCAATCTTTTCGGCACACTACTTTCGGCCTCGTGGTCGGTCCGTTTTGATCTTTCTCCATGGGTTGTGTCAAAGCAGAGCGCCTGCCCTTGAACATGCCGATGTTCTTTGGGCTCTGGGTCTTTCGTGTGATACGTCCTTCGAGAGTCCTCTCGCCTTGGCTCCTCTCGTCCGACTTCCCTGGAAGGTCGGTGAGAGTGCCTTCCACTTCTAGTGTGCTGAGGGGCTTCGGGGATTGTTTTCCTTCCTCCCTTTTGGGTATTAGTTACTGGAATCGGTGTGTCGTGCAGCGGGTATGGTGGCTGCATGACATTGTTTTGCATCATGAAGTTGACGACCGACTGCAGGTCTGCCAACTTGTTTGCCAATTCTTTTACTTTTTCATCCCTCCGTAGGCACCTATCCCTTCATACCTGGAGGTTATCTTCGTTATAGTACTCGCTTTGGCCTGTCTTCTTCGAAGTGCCGCCCTCCTGGCCAACGTCTTTCTCTCCGTGGCCCTGGTCATGAGTTTCTGCATTGTGATTGTCTCCTTCGATATCAAGGTCAATTGGTCTGCCACTCCCAGCAGGAGTGTCGTCCCCAATCTTTTCCTTCTGTCCGTTACTGGCCATCTATTCTTCTACTTTCCCACAGACGGCGCCAAATTGTGTGAGTGATTTTCTGATCACACTGCCCGTATAGTAATCAGCTAGAGAGCACCGGCAGAATAGATGGCTGCAGCTAATCTGCAACAGAAAGAGAAGGCTCCGGCGGTGGTTCTTCCACCCGGGGGCACTCCGACGATCAAGTCAGTATATCTCTCAAAGATAATCAAGTGCTAAACTCATGCTCAAAGCATAAATTGTGTACCTTAGACCCACGGGGTGCCTCTCTTTTATAGTTAACTCAATCCTAGTCCCACTAGAAGCCTTACTCCTATGGATTCCAATTCAGTACTTACTTTGGACTCCTCAAGAGATAAAGATAAACTCCCTAAGAGTTTTATCCTCATCTTGACTAAGTCTCATCTTCATTCTAGGACTCTTGTCCCTTATCTCTTATCCTCTTTTCTCGGATTTCAATATCTTCGGAAATAACCTCGGCTTGACCGAGATCATCTCGGCGTTATGACCCTGACACATGACATGTCGGCTGACACGTCGGCGTCACCTTGCTACGTGTCGGTACTCAAAAATATATCCTCACACTAAGTATTATGTGAATTTATGTCAAACTTGTGAAACTTAAATGTATTTTCTTCAAGCATTAAGAAATATTAATGTAATTTATCCTAAGGCATTCTCGTGAAATTTCTACACCTAAAATAACATAAATTACAATTTTTACCCTCTGAATTTTACTTGAATTTCATTCTAATTTTTCACTTTATAATTGTAAATTTGTAATAGATAAGTTCTCAGACTTGAAGCCAAGTTTTAATCTAATCCTTTCATCACCCCATAGGTCAAAATTTGAAGTGAAAGTTAAAACATGAGTAACAAAGTAAAATTTAATTGAAAATTGAAAGGTGAATAGTGCAATTTTTTTGGTAATATTTTTCTCTAATGCTGCCAAAACGTGCTCATGTGGCTCTTACGGGCGCACTTTCTGTCCAAATTCTTAACAATATGTAACAAGAGGACCACATTAAAATACAGAGTAAAATTTGATAACTTAATTGTTACAAGATGAATACCAAAGTGAAATTTAAATAAAAATTAGAGCCTCGAAAATATAATTTACCCAGTAAATAACATAACTGAGAACATGACAACTGAAAGAAGAAGAAGAAAAAAAAAAAGGTAGATGATGTTACACCTTCATCTTCGTGGCCATGAGATGCAAGAACTCCCCAAATTCGATAGTTCCATTACCATTGACATCAACTTCACTGATCATGCTCTGCAATTCTTCTTCTGTTGGAATTTGATCAATGGATTTAATTGCTGTGGCCAATTCTTCAATGGTGATGCAACCTATACATATTATATCGTCGATATCAGTACATATCCCGATATTAATATTGAAAATCATAATTGAAAGTTAAGCATATCAGGATTTGGGGGGTATGTTCTGCCTTAATGTTATGCACTTTTGTGAGCTCACTCTGGATTCGTTGATCCAAACCGTTCATTTTATATAATCGTTTTTATGCAAAAAAAATTAGGTTAATCAATTACCGGTAGCCAAATATGATCCAATTATGTGGTTATTGATATCTAATCATTTTTATTTATTTTTTTTGCATGAACAATCTCTTCGGCGTACGTATTATACAAGATGACCGATTCAAATCATCTTAACATATCTAGATTGAACCCCCACCAAAAAGCACAACAGACACCCCAAATTTAACCCACCATGTGCTTATTTCCAATATATATATTTTTGTGTGAACCAAAAAGGAGCGAGAAAAATAAAGAGAAACATATGCTTACCATCTCCATCTTTGTCAAGCAAGCAAAAAGCTTCCTGAAACTCAGCAATCTGTTCTTCACTCAATTCATCTCCCTTATATTTCATCTTTGTTTGCTAAATGATTGCTATGAACTTTATGTAGTTAACTTTTTGCACTACAAAACACACACACACACACACACACACCAGAGAGAGAGAGAGAGAGAGTAGTTGAGAATGCTCTAATATTATTGCTTTAACCTTCAACACTTACATATATGCAAGGAGTATACTTTGAAGGGAGGGTAGATAAGTATTGTTCCCTTCATTTTTTTTTTAATCATCAAGAAAGTGACTTTAACTATCAAACAAGATTTGCTTGCTTATAATTCTATTAAGAATTTTCTGGATGACCGGGAGCAAGTCTTGGATGGGGTTAGACTTGGACGGCATTGCTTAATTTCATTGTCTTTAAATCTTATGTTTCGTTATTTCAAAATATTGACATTCATTAAATTTTGCCTTAAAATTATCGCACTTTAAAATTTTCAATCATCTAGAATAGTTGTGAGTGTTTCAAGCCAAGGAGAAAGAAATTTGAAAATAAAATTCTTAATATAATTTCATAAATACTTTCTCTGTAAATTACACTTTATCCTTTTTATGTTTAGCCATTTTTTCACCTTGGTTCTTGAAATTTTTTATCCCTTTCATGTTTCAAATTTTTTCTAATTTACTCTTAATGTTAACTTATGTTCAAAATTAAATAGAAAATGTCACGTACTTGCCACATTTCACCCATCTTTTATCTTCTTCTTTTTTAAATTTATGCACTAAACACATTGAGTGTTACGCAAAAAAATGTATAAAAATGTTAGAGATCTCAAAAATTTTACTAAATGTCTCACATGAGTGTAAGACTCACATGGGATACATATTGTGTAGGTCTCACATCCATGTGAGATATTTGGTAAAAACTTTGGTAAAAATTTTGAGATTTCTAACATTACTCAAAAATGTAACATGGTATACCAAAATTAGATAATAATTTTCCTAGAAAGAAAATCCCAAAATGGTCAATGTAATACATTGGACACGGTATGAATGAATGTAGTCAAATGTTACTAATACATTGGACACGGTATCGACTGTGAATAGTATGCATCCAAGTTCGGTTTAGTCATGAGTGATGTCACTTGGACTTCATTTTGTTGCCGCACAAACGACTTTAGTACTTTTTGTTTATTTGTTTGTTGTCATTTATTAAAAATACTAAAATAATCACCTAATGAATCATAATAATATAGCATAGCTTCTTTCAGCTGAGTTGGTGGGGCTCATTATAATTCCAATTCCAATAATCTTATTTATTCATTTTATCTTCTATATTTACTCCTAACTATCTATTTATACTATTATTTAGGGATTACCGTCTCAATTTTTAAATTTTTTCAAAATGTCCTTGTTGTAGTTACTGTTCGAAAAACTCCTATATTTTTTGTTCTTTGTGTAATTAGAAAATGGGTAACAAATCACAAAATACAAGTAATAATATGGCCGAAATTAAAAGCACAAAAACAATCACAAAACACCAAATTTACGTGATTCGGAAAAAATACCTACATCTACGGGTCCAACTCTGAATCAACTTCCACAATAAAATAATGGGGTTACAAGTTATCATCTCTAGTCACAACTAGAGGAATACAATCATTAAGATATATTCTTTAACCACCAACAATACTTATATCATCACCATAAAGGTGGGTTTTAACAAAATCAACAAGAGATAAAGTTTAGGTCTCACCAAAATGGGTATCCCAAACTACCAATCCAAGAGAGCTTTGACAAGATCCACTCCAATCAAAATGTAGAGCTTGATTTCATGAACAACATGTTAAAATTTCATCAAGATTGGGTCAGAAATAACCATCCAATCTTGATTTGAACTATGAAAGAAAACCCCTAGCTTTTCTCCCCCTTTCTCTCTCTCTCTCTCTCTCTCTCTCTCTCTCTCTCTCTCTCTCTCTAAGTCTGATGAGTCTAGCATTCAAACTCAATCCTCCTCTCTCTCAATCATAAATTATGCCCTCATGTGGTTGGAGTCCGGATCCTCTCCAGCCAAAGCCTCCGGCCCTTCCTCCAGTCAAGGGCCATGATTTGGCCACGTCGCTAAAATGAAGATCTATGGCTCAGATGAAAAAAAAAAAAAAAAATTGAATTTCTTTCATTCAATACAGCAGCAGCTTCCCTCCCATTCCCTCCATGTTTTCCCTCCCTCTTCGAAGCTCTGGCGAAGGATGATCAACAAAGTCGACGGCGAACATCGACGACGATCGGAGGTGAATCGAAGTCGGCGGCGAACATCGACGGTGAACCAAGCTTAAGGTGTCCTTCACATTTGGAGGACCCCATTGCTGACCTCACTTGCCACTTTTTGGAATGCTCGCATCCTTTAATTTTTCACCATCGCTGTGATCTTTCTATAAATCCTCTGTTTCTACTATCTTTTCTCTCTACTATTCATTCACACTTGTCTAAAAGAGGAAGAGAGAGAGACACACACGTATTAAGGAAGAACCATTTTTGGGTTTGGAAGAAAAGAGCTAGTCATTTCTGGGAGCCCTGTATTGAGGGTGAACCATTTCTTTAGCCCACAAGAAGTGCATTTTTAGCTTTATTTTCTTTCCTCTTTAGGTTTTGGTGGTTTGTTTGTTTTTTCACATTGTCCTTTGTGATTAGGGAGCCCTGTATTGCATTAGAGGAGCATTTACAATGCCTCATTTGTACAAGTTTGTACTGTCCCTGTCTCTGTTTTCTACTAATACTAATGTCCCTCTTAACCTTTAATGCTCAGTTTGTTTACTAAGAATGCTGATGAGAATTAGAAACAATTGAAAATGATCACTACTACTTAAGGCGAACAAAGGCATAAGTAGTTTTCTTTAATTGAGTAGTCAAGTTATCCATCTCTCTCTTGAGATGGTAATTAATAATTCAATATGATATCCAAATAAACAAAAACTCCTATATTCAAACCTTTAAAGATGAAAAAAAAAAGAAAATGCCATTTCAACGACCAACAAAAGAAGAGCCCAAAACTAGACTCAACCCACTCATTCCCTGGTTAGTCCATGAATGGCCCAATCAATTCATATTATTTTGAAGAAGATAAGCATAAGATTGGACAAATACAATTGACCCAAAACCAGACTTAACCCACTCATTCGCTGGTTAGTCCATGAATGGCCCAGTCAATTCATATTATTTTGAAGAAGATAAGTGTGGGAGCCGAATAAATGGCAAGATCAGAAGGTGTGTACCTTAGAAGACTAATATTAATCGACTGTATCCTACAAGAATGGAAAGCCGAATATAATATATGTACCGAATAAGTGTAGATCCTTAGAGCCGAATAAGAGAAAGGACAATGATTAAAAAGTAGGCCCTGACCCCGAGGATCAAAAGGAACATGTATAAATACAGGAACAATGGATTGAGAAAGGTATGTAAGAATCACTTCACTTAACTTAGCAAATAAGCTATCCTGAGTGTCTGAACTGACTTGTCCATCGGAGTGCTAATTCTGGCACCCCCGACCGAAGTGTTTGTATCTTTTTAGGTGACTAGCTGAGGATCACTAGCGTCTCCCAGGATCTGAAGAGTATTTCCAAACCTCTTTCCTCACAACTGGCGTCGTCTATGGGAATACTCAATTACATCCATGGCAGGCGTGACTGAAGATCCTCCGATAGCCACTGACGTGACCGCATAGGGAGATGACCTCACTCCAGCAAATATGCTCGGAAAGGAAACCATCGCTGTAAGACGCGCCTTGAACTTCGACTCACCAACGACTTCAGCGCAAGAGACAATACAAGCGATCATGGAACAAGCAAAGTAGAATGAACAAAGGCTGGAGAACATGATCGCTGAAAATGAACGTCTCTGTCAAGATTTGGCCCTGGAAGTAGCAAAATCCAGAGAAGCCATGCGCCAAGATCCCGAACGACCTCCGAGGGCAGGTGGACAACGACCTCGAGCCCGACCAAAGGAGACCGATAGCAACTCCAACTCATCACCCACGGAGCTCAACAAGAAGGGATGATCCGAAACTTCCAGCTCCTCCGAAAAGAGTCTACATACAAGGAACAAGCGCAGAAGAAGCAGTTCAGACGAAGAAGACCAGCACGATCCTTTTGTCCGACGGATCGCAAGGGCGGCCATGCCCAAGAAGTTCAAGGCTCCATCATTCCCTCTTTACGATGGAAAATCAGACCCCACTGATCATATCCGTCACTACAAGAAGGCCATGACATTGCATGCAGACAACGAAGCCCTCATGTGCCGAATATTCCCCAGCAGCCTATGGCCATTAGCTGTCAGGTGGTATTATAAGCTGGAGCCAGCTTCGATCAAAAGCTTCCATCAATTACAGAAATCCTTTAGGGCCAGGTTCATCACCAATGAGGTACAGCCGAAACAGGCCAACTCCCTTTGGGCTATGCAGATCCAGTCAGGAAAAACGCTCAGAGCGTATTCGGCGCGCTATTGGGAGTGTGTCAACCTCATCGACGACGCTTGCAACGACTCCATGGCCATCACCGCCTTCAAAATGGGACTATATCCCGATAGTGCTCTTCGCAGTTCCTTGACCAAAAGACCCCCCAAAATAGTCTGGGCGTTGATGAAGAAAGTTGAAGAGTATTGCAAAGTGAAAGATGATGTCTTGAGAATAAAAGCCGGACAAATGTCCACCAAAACGGCCCCCCTCGAAAGTGCTCAACCAATAAGTTTCGTGCCACCTCCGAGCCCTGAGCCATAGCAATGCGCTAAACGAGACAAAAGGCGGGATTCTTGCCGATCAAGCGATCAATGCTCCTACCGGACGAATGAACAACTACAAGTCGACAGCAGGCGCTCGAGGCGTGCCGACAAAAAGTACACAGAGTTGTCAGAACCAATCACTGCAATAATGACCAAAGTCCAACACCTTCCATTCTTCAAATGGTCGTCAAAGATAGTGGGGTCACCCGACATGCGAAGAAGAGATAGGCGGTGCGAGTATCACAAAGATCACGGCCACAAAATCGAGAGCTGTTACGCATTAAAGGATCACCTGGAAGAACTGGTGCAAGACGGCCGATTGTAACAGTACGTGAGAAAGGGAAAGCCAATCCAGGCATTAGCCTTAAGGCAGGACTCACCTCCACTTGGCGTGATCCATATAATCTACAGCCTGCCTGTGTCCCCAACTGTGCA